TTTTTTTTTTTTTTTTTTTTTTTTTTTTTTTTTTTTTTAAATTTCTATTTATCTCCTCTCACCTGTTGATACTCAAATAGATCTTTTCGTGAACCGCTTTCCATCGAATAGGCGTAGGGATACGTATATTGCAAAGTGTAACGGCATTTGGCTAATAAAGCTGCCGCATTGAATAAATATTGCCAATCAATCCAAGTGCCACGACCTTTCATTACTTTATCATTGATACGTTGCCGTAAACGGTCCAATGTTTGTTGTTCCAACTGTAAAGATTTCGAATGATTTTCCCATCTTTCGTAATAATGCAAGTATTTCTTAAGCGCTTCCCTTGCTTGAACGTGCACCGATTCATTGGCTATATTGGGATTATCTTTATAACGTGAACATTCATAATATTCGGATCCGTGCATTTTCCAATCACCTAAACACATCCAGCAAAAATCATATTTGCAATTAAAGCATTGCATATGATTGCAGCCGCCATTCTTTTCAATGCATATATGACATTTGGGACAATCTTTGGTATTGGCGCTAATGTAATTAGCCGTCTCGCTGTCATCCGCACATTTGGTTAGCCAATTTTTTATGATCTGGCAGTCGGTAGGAGCATGATAATCCATACCACACTTGAAACAAAAGGATGTATTGCACACTTTGCATATCACTCTTTTAGGAGCGATTTCCCGTGAACGCACGATAATCTGACAATTTGGCCCTGGACAGAAACGCAATTCCGGATGAGATTTCACATAATCTTTAAAAGCAAATTGTTGATATTTTTCTCGCATAACGGGTCTTGTTACTAGTGTTAAAACTAAATCCTCCGGGACACGAACATTGCACATTGCCGCCATACAACCGATTTGTGTGGAGATGCCCTATAAAGCAAAGAGATGTTAATAAATTTTAAATTGTTATCATATCATTATTATAATTAGTTTAGCCAGAGAAATAAGTTTTGAGACCAGCATATAAGGCTATCGGTTTAATGAAAACTTTATCGCACTTCAGATTTGAACCCACGACCATTGAGTTGTTATCAAACAGATAAAGTTATAAACTTTTTAAAAAGCGATTCAAGGTCTAAGTCGATCTAAACTCGGAGAAACACACATGATGATGATTTTTGAACTCAGAAAAACCTCGTCGCCATCAACAGAGAGGAAAATGAATTGGTTATTTTGCTAGATTTCAAGAAGGAAAAGCTAACACAACCGAGGCAATATTATGACAAATATTTCAAATTTCTTGATGAACTTACCTGAAAAATTTGCGTTTCGAAATACATCGACCAACAATCCTTGCAGAATACATGACCACATGAAAGGCTATAGAATTTATCGCCTAAATGAACAGTAGCACACACGGGACACATTTGACTGCGATATTGATGAGAAATGGTACTGCAACTATTTGACCCGCTTAACCCATGTAACCGACTATTGTTATTATTATTATTATTATTATAGTTATTACTGCTACTGTGGCCATTATTGCACGAAGAATTTTTACTATAAACACTTAAGGAGACTTGAGCAATAGCAGCGGCGCTTGTTGACGGTACATCAGCGTTTGTATTTGTCGACGTGGATATTGTTGCTAGATTACTATTAGCAGGATTAGGCGATTTTATTCGTGCCTCAATTAGTAAAGCATTAGCATTTTGACGATATTTGTCCACAACCACATGATTCATCCATTGATGTTCGAGTAAAAGAACTTTGGCGAGTGAAGGTGTTATCTGAAGTATGGTATTTAGCTTTTCAACAGATTCGTTAAGCAATTTTTCCACTTCTTCAACCGTTAAGCACTCATATTCAAAATATTCCGGATCTGCTTTTTTCGGATCTAATCGTTCAACATCGCAGTCTTCACCTTGGGAAATATAAGAAACACACGAAGAAGAATGTAAAAACAGATTTTTGGTTATTATTAGAACAGACATTAACCTTTAAAATCTTTCTTTAGATTTTCTAATCTCTATTTCCCCCTCTTTCTTTCGCTTTTGTTGACTTTTGAACTAAGTATTTTTTCTATATTTTTCTTGCTTTGGTTTTATTTGCTCTGTTTTTCTCATTCTCATTGCCATTTTAATCTAAACCTTGATAATGACTCTTAGTCACGTTTGCCTTTCGGGGGTTTTCAATAACATCGTACCCCTGCCTTGACTTTTCATTTTACCATTTCTTCTTACAGTAGTCTTGTTTATTATTTTGAGGACTAACTCTTATTGTTATTGTTGTTAAATTTTTGTTTTCTTTGTTTACATTTCCTACCCCATGCGTTAAATCGATAAAAATCGATAAATTTAACTTTCATTTGTTTTTTTTTTAATCACTAAGCTTTTGTTGCTGTCAAATATTAATTACCTTTGTTACTATTTTCGTGTTTGTTATAATTGTTTTTTTTTTTCAAACGTAAAAACCTTCGCATATATTTTGTTGTGATAATGAACAAAGTCGTATATGTAAATAGATAATTGTTGTTATTGTTATTTTGAAAGAGCAAACATTTTTGAAATGTAGAATATATGATAAAGTGCTAAAAGGCTTGCAACTGACTTTGCTTAGCAATTTGGAACTGATTTACGATTGATTACATTTTGCAAGATCGTCCCTTTGAAGAAAAGTCGTAATGTTTGTATAACATAATGCGTTTTTGTGTTTGTTAAGAAATTCCAAGGCAGGAAGAGACTTGTCTGAACGAACTCGGAATCAGGCATTTTATCTTATGCTGAGCTTTAGGGTATATACACTGACAAGATCACTTTTCCTCGGTGGAAAGGAAAAAGAAAGCCATCAGACAAGACTTCATTAGCCACCGTCACCCGAGTATTTGTATCCAAGTAACAATATTATTGGTCCTTTTTGGCCGTTTTGGCTTGGGATAGTCTTCCACTTCGCTTCTACGTTGACCGCGAAAAGATACGGCAACGAAGCAATTGATTCATTCCAAACAGTCGTTCGAATGTGTTTTTATAACACCAATAAATAGCTAAAGCAATCCAGAAATTGTCGGCCATAAAGGTGTCGTAACATTCTGTTTTCTTTTTAAACTTCATGGTAATCGTAGAGTGTTTTGAAATGAAAGCATAAGTAAATGAGAACAACTGTTTTGTATATTTACCTGAATTATAGTAATCATCATACTCGCAATCGTTATCCGAATATTCCATATCTGAATCGGCTGACATGTTCGATGCTATATCTTAGTTATGTAAGCTTAAACTCTGCGTGGGAGTAAATGCGGTCAGTCCGAAGATCAAAAAATTCGTCCTTACTTTGCGAAGAATTAATGATCACGAGTATAACACAATGGAAGCTTACACACAAACACCACTGAGTAAACAGTTGAACTTTTCGGTTTAATCGAATTTATTTAAGGATATAAAGTGAAAACAATGATGAGCTTTCCGAACATTAAATAAGTAAAATACAAAAACCAGACAATTAACTGCTTGTGCCTAGTTGATTGCTATGGGGTGGTAGCGAAAACACAGTCTAGGCGGGGGCGTAGTCTTGAACTTGCTAAACCACTGAAACTTGTTTTTATTTTTAACCCGGATGGGGGTTGAAATTCTTATTTCTTAATTTTTATATTTGTGCAGCAGGAGCAATCTATACTTTTGTTTTTGCGTTTACTAGGAATTGTTTAGTTTTGTTTTTTTGCTATTTCATAATCAATTGATTTTTCTAGTTTATTTTCAATTTATAATAATTGCACACAATTTTGTGAACTGATGGATAACACTTCTATATTAGTTTCTTTAAATGTACTATTATTATTAAAAAATTAATTTCTCTTATTTTAATTTCTTTATTGGAAGGCGTCGTAATTATTAATGATGACAAAACACAACGATTATGAATTATGTTCTTGTTCTTAACAGTAACATGTACGCGTAAATGACAGCAAAAATCAAGTGTATGAGCAAAAATGCTGCCAAATCTTTTGTGTTTTCCTGCTATAAAAAGTTTCAATAGTTTGCATATAGACCGCAGCAAGTGCAAATAAGAAGTTAAATTTCAATATAATTGATTCAAGTTTTTTAAAATGCTTTCGTTTAGTTAAATTAATCCTCGCTTTTAATATTTTGCGTTTGAAAATATATGGAAAATTCTTCAATGTTATGTTTACAAGATATGTGTATAAAGTGTAAAAGGTGCAAAGAGTACTTGAAATTTTCAAAGAGAACTTTATTTAAACGAATTGTTTTAAAGACTTTATTCCAACTGTGAGAAGTGGCGAAATATCCATTTAAAGGATTGTTGAGCATAAACTCGATAGTAAGCTAAATCAATTTACTTTACACCTATTTTATTATCCGTTGCTGACAATGTATATATTTTAGTTATGAAGTTGAATGATATAAAATGTATAGATATAATAAATATATAAAGAAGAAAGTTTGTGGAGCTTTTTCATCGAAATTCCAAAATGTTTTGTTTTTATTTTGACTTAATTTTAGTAAACATAAATAAGTATATATAGGTTCCTTTTGGAGTTTGCTTTGCATCGTTAAGAGAGTTCTGCGGAAAGCAAAACAAATATTTGTTAAATAGTGCGTGTTGTTCCGCGGCATTGCATTAAGACATCCCAATAAAATTTCAATTTTTTTTGTCGAGTCATTGAGAATGCTAGTGTCACGTCAATTACTCTCTATTATTAAGAGTAGAAAGTGAAGTCAATCCTCAAGCTAGGTTCGAACACCTCATCATTTACGATCCCACATTCCATAATCACATTAATTTGGCCTTTGCTACATAGTGATCCATACCGTTCACAGCATTATCGGAGAGGCGATCCTTTTTTCATCGCCCGATATCGGTATTTTCAAAAGGACTGGACTTGGTTTTGCAACAGCAACGGCTATGAAAAAGTCCATTAAACTTTCCGCTGCTAATTCTTATGATATTCAAATGTCAAAATTTTCTTCGTGTTTAGTCTTACGCAACCAGTTCAAAACCATGTTCTGATCAGTGTTTAGTTGCGCAGCGTCAAGCTCTCATGAAAATCTGTTGCCGACCGTACTTATGAGTATTTGGTTCAGTTTGATTTAGCTAATCAATTAATAATAATACTTTATAATGACAATTAATCCGACCACTGAAAAGTATAGGGATATGAGATAGGGGCTACACTCACTTTGTCATAATGTTGGCAACAGTCAAAAGGAAGCTTCAGAGACCATATAGAGTGTATATAGTCTTGAGCAGCATGGAATTCTCAATTGAATAAACCATGTCGATCCTTCTGTGTGTCTGTGTGACGTGTGTTGTTTGGACTCGTCTAGACTCAGAAGATGAAGACATCGACTTTAAATTTGGTAGAAACACTAGAATTCTTTGCGCGCAAGTTGGCATTGACAATAGGCGAACCTAGTCAGAGCAAAAGCGCGCAGCTACAAACAAAAATTTGTGCGGTCTGTTCTCATTACTCACAAATTATAAAAGATAGAAGGCTAAAATTTTCAACATTTACTCTATGTAACCCACTACTATCTATGTACAATAATGGGAGAAATGCCATGCCCACACGAAGTTAATTGATTCAATTTTCTTTTTTTTCACTTTTGTGCTTAATTATCGTAAGGCAGACACAACGGAATGTTCAAAATAGAACATGATGAAATATGATGGACACAACGATCTGGTGGGTCAATTTTTCCTTAATAACGCCGATGATATTGATAGAAGCACTTGGAGAGTGTTAATTCCAAATTAATTATGGTGGACGTCACGACGTGGCAGATTAGTTTTTCTTCGCAATAGCACTTAGTGGAGTAAAAGTGAAAGATAAATTTTTTCTCTTTATCACCTTTTCGTGGCAGTAAATAAAAGTTTGGTGCCGCAATGATTTTAATGGGGGTGAATGTAACTCTCCTACATGTTATGTGATAAATTATTCAAAACATTGAAGAGTATTTTTGATTATAAAGAGAGATTTGAATCCACGATCATTAAGTCGTCAGTCGGAATCCTTTACTTACTCAGGCTACTCAGGCGGATTTTAAAATCGTTTAATAAGTTGAGTGTGTGTGTTTCGTTAATTTATCTTCGGATGCAACTAACGTAGAAAAATTGACTGACTAATTGACTTGAGTGGTGATCTGCGCACCAAAAAAAAAAAAAAAAAAAAAAAAAAATTGTTTGACTTCTTGCCGATAGCTCCATGATAAACGTTTCGAAATTTTTTGAAAAACCAGCTCAAGCCTTTTTTGTATTTATTTCAAAAATTTACATCAATTTATAGGTTATGCTCTCCTGCATGCAGGGGGTACTGCTGAGCGCATTGTGCCAAATGGATAGGTCCATCACATGTGTCTGTTGCATATCGTTTGCAATTTTGAAATATCTTTTCCAAATTGTATTTTTTCGCAATTCTAGGCTGTTTACGCATAAACCATTTTTTTAATTGACCGCGTCGCGTAAATCCGTAAGCTTCAGATTGACAATATATGGAGCATTGTTGACCGGGCGTGTATTCCGAAGCGCCTTTGATTTCAGACAAATCTTGAACAACCATTAAGTCCTCCTCATTGATTCCCAAGCGTTCATGGCAGTCCAACATATTCTTTATCACTGCAAATGCCTGCGGGAAAGCAGAAAATTAAAAAGGTTATTAGGCAAAACTAAAAAAAAAAAAAAAAACAATATTTATTTATTTATTTTTTTTTTTTTTTAAGTATTCACTCTTAAAGCGGAAGCGATGTTTGCAGTTACTGCCAAAATTGTTAATATTGTGAAGAGTTTCATGGTTAATTGATTTCTTTCGAGAACGAGATCCAACAGTTTCTTGAACAAAGATCTAACGATTCTTATATATAGTTTTTTTTACTTTTATAGTATGTTAAGGTTAATTATTTGTTTATGACGATACGCTTCACAGTTTTGTTTTTTTTTTTTTTTTTAACAAAATTTTTTATTAATTAGATTGGCTTTCAATACAATTCAATATTCAAGCAGAGTAAACTTGAAACAGGGAACATAGACATTTAAAAGAGAACAATGACACTTGGTTAAATACAATCCATTGGAATTGATAAATGTTTATGCAATATATACGATCCATTATCGGATATCCAGGCAGAATGACTTTCTTAGATGTCATTACGTTAAGCTTGACATTGACAGCTTTAGCCAATTTTAAAGTAAACCGAGCTTGACCTTGACCGAACTTAACACTTCCATGTCATGCTATACATACATATATATATATATATATGTATATAGTATACAATGAAGTGCCATATGGCCGGAAAATTTTTAAGCAGAACCAATGCAATTTTATAAAAAACTGAGAAAAATCTTCCGGAACAAATCTTAAATGATTCAATTTTTGTAGTTTAGTTGCAGTCTCAATTGGAAGAAAGTTCGTTACAGTTAATATTTGTTAATGATCCATGGCACGTTGAACGCTTAAGAGACCGTAGAATAATTGATAAAACTGTTGCTAATAGATTGGAAAGGTAAAAAGAACGGGGAAAGGCTAATTCTTCCCAACACGGTCACATTAACTGAAGAAAGAAAGGACATATGCCCAATGTCGGATGAAGTTTGCACTCTAATTGATTTAAGGTCTTTTTTCCATTTCAGTAAATAATCTAACGAGAAGGAATGCTCTGGAGAGCTTCCATGCAATGTATGCATTGTTCATTTATTTTGGCAGGGCCTGGCAAAATTAAAGTATCGGTTTCAAATGGAACGACAACTTTGCAAATTCTTGCAGACAGGTTGGCCTTGAAAATCGGCGAGATCGGTCAAAGTGTCAAGCTCACGTCCACAGTACAAATTCGAAAGCGAAAAATTCTTGCTCATCTTACCACAGATTAAATTATAAAAATTTCCAATAATCAACAGTTGCTTGTTGTTGTTTACACGACATTGAGAACCATTCAACGGCTCCTGGTCTTTCGATTCTAAAGATGCTATAACGATTTCTTCGCTTTAGCTGATTATTATCGGATATCAATCAGTCATTGAAACAATTTCATGGCACTCCTCACTTTATTTATGTTAACAAAAAAATATACATTTATTTATGCTAATTAATTTATGTTTAGCTATGGGAGTTTTAATAAGAAAAAATCCAAGCTCAATATGAAAGACCTAGACAAGGTCTTGACATCAAAACTTGGAAAGAGAAAAGATATCACTTATCCACTGAACCAAAGCCAAACCATTTCATCTATTTTTAATTTTAGACCTACATTCTACATCCTGGTGCAAAGGTATATTAAATTTTGGTGAATGTAAGGAACACCCAGCAGGACATGGGATCTATCCTCTTTTCATAAAACGAAAACATAAAGTGATTCTGAAGCAATCTTAGCTTGTATGTCCGCCTAGTTTTCTTGGGTTAAACCGGACAGATCGGCTTTGGCCGAAGAACGAACGTTATTAAAAATGGTTCAAATCTTTTTCGATCACTTTCCTTAAGAGACCTCGTTCCAAACAGTCATATGAATAACTATAGGGTGATGTAGGGAATTTAACGATGAATACTGGCCCAGTATAGTGATTAGATCACACTGGAGCTGAAGACGTAAAAAAATTTTAATAAAACCATCACCAAATTGTTGATTCGGCGGGAACCAGTTGACTTCAATGATATTTGCTCCAAAAATGTAAGTTTCTTAGTTCATTCTATATCACTTTTCACAATATACATACATACATACATATGTCTATTTAATTTTAGTATTTACAACATGTGCCGTTACCCATTGGTGACAACATTGAATTAGTAATGGTAATGGATAATTCATGAATGCATACTGCCCTCATTTCCTGTACACTAAAATTTTATGCCTTGGAAATACAAAAATTCATCGCGACTTCCAAAAATATGCACAAAATTCATCCACTGCACTGGTGTAGGTTTGTTTGGTGTAAGTTTTCTTGGTGTAGGTTTTTTTGGTGTAAGTTTGTTTGGTGTAAGTTTTTTTGGTGTAAATTTTTTTATCACTATATTGCGGCCTTCATCTCTCTATCTCTCTCTCTCTCTCTTTTCTCGTGGGGCATTCTCTGAAGAAAAAAATGGGTCGTAGTCATAAGACGTTTGCAGTTTTTCGAGAGAAAACTTGTATAGCTATTTATGTTCAACGAACAACTTCCGTATATCAGCAAAAAATAACGGCGAAATAACGTCTTTTAGGGATAAGCTTAGCGAAGGACCTGATCATTTTTTCAGTCGTTGCGTCTATTCCACGTCCAAAAAGCCAGCCATTGTTCGAACTTATATGAACACGGTCTTCAAGTTTAATCATCTGAAAATATAATTATTTTTGAGACGAACTAACTCTCCAGTGTACTTCAGATTACTACCTGTCTTCACCTTCACCTTTCCCTCTTCCACTTGAAAGCAATTTAATTTATGAACGGTTTTCCAAATTTTCTATTTTAGTATATCAAGCTAACACGTTTACTGTTAAGTTACTGTTTGCAACTTGGCCGGTGAAGGAATGAAAGCAGGTTCTATAACATTGTTCTGTTATACGGTTGTATATATATGTTATTCTATGAACTTTTCAACTAGATAGAAGATAACCATCACTACATAAAACATAAAGGTGTTATTTTTAGGTTTAGTTTCGTTCCATGCCCCTACAATTTTCTGCCAAAGGCTACTTCCTTGCCAAGTCAGCAACAAGAAGTTATTTTTTCTTTTTTTCCCTATAAAACGACTGTTTAAGTAAACATAATGTATACGAAGAATAAATGGGATTTAGTGTCCAAATCGTTCTAAATTGTCCGCAGAGAACAGCGCATAATCGGTTATGTAATAAAGTACAAATAAAATATATTTAGGTTATCATTAACTCTCTCCTGTTCAGACGCGATATATTCTTTGGTGTTTTGTTAGCCGAGAGGCATTTAAGTTTTCTGCTCTTTAGATTAATTTTTGTATTTCATTAACGATACATCTACACAAACCAAACTGTATTACATACTTATAACAAGACAACATAGATCACCTGATGTATCTCTACTGTATACGATTCGTGACATTACACACTGTTATCTTCATTTACGTACTGTCCGATCTTTTCATTCAAATATGATTCGAGTTCTTCTTTTCTTCCATATATTGTTTGAATCTTACGATTGATTACCTTGTAAGTTTCGCTTTTTGAATCCTCATTTTCGGACGGTCGGAAGGTAGTGAAAACAGGGAAGGAGAGAGGGAGATATGATGGCCGCAGCCTAGTGGGTGTTCACTGCCACGACCACTCACTATAGCTCCCAGCAAAGTGAACTCTGCCGCTCTGAGATTTAAATCAGCGAACACTGATCTCGCAGTGGCGATTCTTATCTACTCGGCTGCTCTTGCGGATAGTTGAAAAGTATGGAAAGTAATATTCGTTTTTGATATTGAACCCTTCGCAAAGCATCACGTACTGAACTTTTTGAACCCGATCGGTAATCAATTGTATTGCTTTGGAGAGTGTCAAAATGAAGCTTCGATTTTCGAGCTTCGTCTCCCCCATAATAAGTCCGCAATTAAATGTCAACTGAAAAATTTCATTTTCTCACAAACATATATTGGTTTTCGAATTTACACAGTTCCATAATGTAAAATTAATTTTGTTTTAATTTAATTTATAAGTTTCGTGGAAAACGTTGCGCGCAAATTCCCAATAAGACAGGGGCCTCACAGGTATTGGCTGCAAGATACTCGCAATTTCGGAATACTTCATCCAAATCATATCTATTTGCAATTTTTGCGTAATTACGCCAGAATTCCTCCATCGGTCGACCTTGTTTTGTTAATCCAAATGCTTCGGACTGACAATATATGGAGCATCTCTGGCCGGGTCTGTACGATGAGACCGGTTGAATTTGCGATAAATCGTCAATAAATATCAAGTCCTCTTCTTTGATGCGTAACTGTTCATGGCATTCCAGCATATCCCTTACGGCTGCAAAAATCTGCAGTGAAATAGAAAGTCGATAAGAGTTATTGATTAAGCACACACTATGAATATTTTGGCTTAATATTCACCCCAGTGGCGGCCAAAGCGGAATTGACGGTCACCAAAACTATGAGTACTATGATACAAAGTTTCATGGCTTCAATGACTTAATAATTTTTTTTTGTTTTCTCAAGCAAAAACTGAAGAATCGCGCAACACCGTATCCCTTATATATACGTTTATACATCCAAGTATCATTCATCTGGCAATTTTTAATGTTAAGGTTTATTACTTTTAATTGGGATACGCTTCAATTTCGCTTAACAACCCTTTCAATGAATTAAGATGGTTTTCGCACACTTTAAAATGACGATTCTTCCCGTTACACGAACGGCGCTTGTCATTAGCTAGCTGCAAGCAGACTTGAAAACTTGAGAACGTAGTTAGTATCCATCCAAGAAAGCGTTCGAGTGTTTCGGCTTAAAAAGACTCAATGCTAAATTATGACCTACGCCGTTGTTACGTCGAGTAATTGTAATAGAGTGTTAAGGTGTTGAAGCAAAACGAATGCAATTTTATCGGTCGAAAAAAGAATATGAGATAGGTTGCAAGGAACGCGACAATGCAGAACTGCGACAATGTGCCGCCGAGCATTGTCATGCAAGAGCATGACTTTGCGTCTGTTAACCGTTATTGGTGATATTTTTTACTACCGTCTATCGTTCAACTTGTTCAATTGACATCGGTAGACATCTGTAATAAGAATTTCATTCGGTTTTAGCAGTTCGTAATACCCTACACTCAGCTGATCCCAACCTACGCACAGCAAAATTTTTATCGCCACCGAAATTCCGCTTCGTTGTCGTCGCCGATGGCTCTCCTGGACTAATCCATGACTTTTTGCGCTTGGGATTGCCACAGTAGTAGGCAGGGGAAATTCTTCTTTGTTGCTTAGCAAGTATTTTCAGTCAATTCGTACGGTAGACATTTTCCAGTCTTTTGGATTTTTCCCATCGCTGGTGAAAGCAAATCCGACAATTGGAATATTAGGGAGCAACATCAAAGCATTTGATGGATGATGAACAGATATGAATGTCGAAAACACAGTTTTGAGCGTTCTACGATTAGCGTCTGTATATAGTCGATAATACTCAGTAGCACTTATTTCATGTAGAGAGCGGTAAAAATCATGGAATTTAAAGGTGGTGTGCATTCATACTTCGCATTACTTTATCATTTATTAATTTATCATTTGCACCAATAGATACCGTTGATCAAAATACTTGCAAGCACAAATTACTTTAATTGCAAGTGTAGTTATAATGAAAGCCATTATGAGTAGAATCCCTAATCGAACACATGTTTGGCTTTACTTCTGGTTAATTGATTATAAGAGGAGAGGAGGGGTGGGGGAGCGTTGAAAATCTGTACCCAATTGCAGTTTCATTGGAATTAATTTTTCTTTTTATATTCGTAAATCCCGCTACAACATGAGGTCAGTTGAATTAAATAAAACTTCGATTTTAAGGCTTAAATTGTGATTATATTAAAGCAGCAACAACAACAGCAACAAAAAAGTTAAGAATAAGCAATTTATAAAATTTCAGATTAAAAGCGAGTTCATCCTAACTGATTGTATATATACACACATGTGCATATATTGATTTATATTGGTTTATTTAATGCACCTGACATCGCTTCTGGTACAAGGGTATATTAAGTTTGTGCAGATGTATACAATAGCCGGATGGACTTGAGATAGACGTACCTTTAATTATATCGATCAATTCGGAAAGTGATTGTAAGCTTGTCTGTCCGTCTTGCTTTCTTGCGTTCAACCTATAGATAGCAATTTTCGAGATGTTTTAATGAGATTTGGTACACCGACGTTTTTTGGACCAAGAACGGAGGCTATTGAAAACGGTTCGGATCGTACCATTTTTTTGACCACCTGCCATATAAAGCTTTATTTTAAAAGTCGGTACATGAATAACTATATCAAAAGGAACGGTGTGGTATGAGACATGATCCCTATTCTGTTTGTACCTGTTCTCACTTCATTGACCAGCTATGGTTTCTCTAACTTTCAATTTCGATCGATGGAAAATACTTGCTATATGTTCTTAATTTGTTCACTTTCCAACGAAAGTCTTTAAATTCGGATACTTTTCGCACAAATCGCATAACTGGGAATACGTAGAAGTCGTCATGTTGCTACACATGGGAAAATTTGTTGATAACATCGTAATAACTATTAATAATTTATAAAAACACAACAAGAATAGTCCGTCAACTCTGGCATTTAAAAATTCTCAGGTCACACTTCATTACAGACCTTTTTGTCCTTTAAATTATTAGTCATGTCGACAAAAAGCAAAACAAAAACAAAAATTTTATTAAAAAAACAAAGTATGAAACTTTTAATTATTGCAGCAACGATTTTGATGATCATAACCAGTACTGAGGCCTTTTATAGTAAATTGCAATAGAATTCGCTTGAATTGTCAATGATGTTTACTTTTATATGTTCCGTGATTATTATTATGTAGGGTTTCGCTACATTTCAGAAAATAGTTTGAATGCCAAAAGCGTTTAGGTAGAAGATGCTTTCTTTAGAAATCAGCGAACTAAGGATCTCGCGGGCGTTAATAGACGTCAAAAATGTGCCATGTATTGTCAATCTAAAGAATTTGGCTTTAGAACGGGCGGGATACTTGATGAAGAGATTGTCCGAAATCAAAGAAAATACAAAGAATTGTGTAAAAGGAAAGATGCAAAAGCATAAGAGCTTCCGATCTTTGCCGGGATGCAATAAAATTAAATCTTTGTAGGTGAAAACAATACAAGCCCCAAGAAAATAAATTAAAAATTTTGATAAGAAACGGGAGATGAAACGAACACTTTCAAAAGGTGGTCGGTAATTAGGGCAAAATTATTAATTGCCGTCAATGAGATACACGAATGGATGAACGCATCACCTACTAACGAATTAATTCCTCTATCTTCTACAAGTGTAAGTTGCTTCTTACCTTTAGATTGGGGAAAATAAATTCATTTTTTCTTAGATCTTAGATGATTGAATACCAATCTTCGGCCGACCATTTCATATAAGGAAAACACCTTAAATCTTGTAGCTTCCCATCATCTCATTTTCTCTTTTTCGCTCAACAGTTGAGAAATATTCATAAATGTGAGGTAATTTTATTAGCTTTTGCGCAATTAACGTTTTATACGTTTATCCAGATTTGATAAATACTTTGCGACCGCTTGTTCTCTTTATAGCCTGCGCTACTTGTGGTAGAAGGGTTCATGTTGACGTTTGTAACAACCACAAGTGGTTGAGATAGACGTCTTTCTTTATTATACAGGTCGATTCAAGAAAATGTATTTAATCCTGGCTTGTCCGTCCGCCTGTCCATTTAATGTTTGTCCATCTATTTTTGTGCTCAAGGTCGCAACTTTTGAGATGTTTTGCGAAATTTATTATACTGGCGTGCGCTATTAAAAACTATACGCTATTTAAAACTATTCGGATCGGTCCACTCTTCATATACAGCCTTAGTTTGAAAGAAGGAAAAAAGTGCTATTTTCACAATTTCCCGCTGAACGTTACGTTCACTGGGGCAATGCTTTGGATTACATCCGAAAATTTGAAAACTGAATGTTTATGGTAAAAAGACATAATTTTTAATACTTCAAGAATCCAAGAAGTCAACCTTACAGTATTTGGATACCATCGCATATAAGAATCCTCAAGAAAAGTCCACCTTTATATGTCAAAAAGGCCTAATTGTTAATGTTTTGTGATGAAAATTTGTTCGTTATAGTAATTTCTTATAAATCTTGGACCGCATTTCATATTAGATTTCTCATGAATAGTAAAACTTTCAGAAATAGGTTTAGTTTTTAATATTTTATGATGAAAATTGGTCCATGTTATCAATTTAAGAAGAAACATTTTTTGGTAAATGAAGTAAGTTTGCAAATTTAGGATCGCGTCATTTAATATTCCGGCCATCATCCAATATGCGGGCTTTTATAGAAAGGGTGTCTTCGCTTAAAAGTAATGGGTACCCTTTCGTGTATCATTACCAACACGTATGATTATCTGTACCAGGCGAAGTGCGTAGGGGGTAGGGCATGGCAAGGTCGACTTTGTCCGACTGTAGTGTTCTTAGTTATTTCCCAAATACTGTATTATTACCAAAACGAGTGATTAACTGTGCCAGGCGAAGTGGGTAGGGTATAGGGTATCTAAGAGTCGGCCTTGCCCGACTATAATGTTCTTACTTATTTCCTTGTAGCCTACTGATCAATGTGCGATCTTTTGGTTTATACATGTTTTTTTAATAGCAAATTTTCAAAACTGCGTTTTTCCTTTCTCTTGATACCCGCCGTCTGGCTGCTGAGCATCGTTTTGCGAGGGAACTCGGCCTATCACTATTATTGAAAAATCAATTTGGAAGCTCTATGCAAGTGGTTAAATTCAAATATTATTCTGCTCTGGAAAACGATTATATTTCCACAAAATGAAACTTGATCCCCGTTACTGTGCTCACATGTAAGGATCGATCTCCATATTATTATTAGGTACATTTGCCTCAAGCTAAAAATGTAATGAATGCAGTCGACTTATGAGCTTTTTTTTTTGTCACCTGTGGTAATCATTGGTGTACGGTTGGATATATAATACCATTTCAATGCTTTAGTCTCCAGATTTCGGTTTCATCAGGATTGAGAATTTATTTTCTTCTTTTTACGGATATCTGTTAAAATAAAAGGGAGAAATGTGATGATAGTCGAGATCAAATAAGGCAATATTTTGCTTGAATAATAGAAGAAAAGCTAGACTGTTTCAGAGAGTAATTCAAACTTTTAAATTTACACCTATGTACAACAAGTAAGTGCGACAAACAAAACAACAACAATAACAGCATTAGAAAAGTAAGTCGTAGTGTACATGTATTCGTAAAAAACGGCAAAGTCTCATATCACTCAATAAGTCTCTCGTCTAACATGTATATATGGCAACACTGTTGGCAGATTCATATGTTTTTTGGATAGTACCAACCAACCTTCGAACATGTTAGGTGTGAACATTTTTCAATATTCTGACAGTTAGTTTACAGGCCACTCAACCGAAGTCTTCCACGCTCCTTTTAATAGCAAAACGCTAGAATGGTATTCGGCAATACAAGATCTATTACTACTCAGAAATGATAATACAGACACAGATAGTTACAAGGCTATGAAATGTGAAAAATATAACTTGTGCTAGGCATAGGCTTTATTTGCCATAGCGAAACTTTTCTTAGGCCTAAGGATACATTTTTAGCACGTAGGGATACCTTTTTTTGTGTTTAAGCTTGCTTTTAGCTGGCTTAGGGCTATCTTTGTTTAGCGCTTAGTGTACTTTTATTTGACTTGATTTGTCACGAATACAAATGCACAACGAAATGTTAGGAGACTTTGCTGCGACTGCAACTAAATTAATTATGACGCTTTGAATGTTTTCTTTTTTGCTTAAGAAATTGCATTGGTTTTGCTTCAAATTAACTAAACCACGGTAGCCCTACAGTTATTTTCATTTCCATGTACATGCTTGTAAGTAAAAGCTTATGTTGTACTTTTAATAAATTTGATTGAGTTTTATTAATTAGTTGAGATGTACGCTATGCTCTTCTTCCACTCGAACGTCTTATGTATCAAGTTGATTTGGATATTATGTAACATTATGCACAAGTTTGGGCACAATGACAGCTGCTGTCAAATTTTAAATTTATTTCTTTGCTGTAGAAAAAAATGAGTATTTGGAGTCATCGGGATAAGGCGTTTTTTGAAGTTAATTATTAAGATGTGCATAGGTGCTTAAAAAGGGTGTGAGGTTACAGCTTAAAACGAAGAAAGAATGGGATTCGGAAATTACAGGAGGGTTAAAGAGGTCTTCAGCCGGCACAAACAACCGAAGTTCAGAATAATTTTTCTCTTTTTATATTATCAATCATTCCGGACATAAGATGTTCCGCTATGATCCGTATAACACGATTAGGGTGAGAAAGAAGTGGAGGAGCAAGAGAGAGAGAGAGAGAGAGAGGCGGGCAGTGGCTCATGCGATTATTATGCTCTACCGCACTAAAGATTATCTCGGCCATGTGGTTTTGATAAACGCATACCCGTCTGCTTGACTATGCGGTACAAATCAGTGACTTCAAAAAACCAAAGAAAACCTATGTCTAGCAAACGATGTAAAGTTCGACATTTAGACTTTTTGAGCTTTCTTAGCTTTGGAAACTGCGAGAAGAATAACTCTCGAAATCACTGAAGTTCGAAAACTCAGACATTGTTAGATGAAACTTCATATCAAACTTGATTAAAGTGAAAGAAGGACTGAGCTGATCAGTAATAAGAAATATCTCAAGGCAAATGAAGTTAAGTCGATTATACAAAGGGACAATGGACACGAATGAAAATGAAGGAGAAATTTCGTACTGTGGGTTTATATAGAAAATATCAAGCTATTCTTAATCAAGTCTTGATGCTTAAAGAGTCACATTGGGTCGCCAAGCAGTCGCTTTCATGATCATCGTGAGTATGACTAAACACTTCGCCAAATACTGCTCTTACAGGCAGTTACACTGATCGGCCTAATAAATGTTCCTGTCTTCCAAGAAGAAAGCGGACACTGAAGCATTACTTAGATCTTTCAATGACGTACTTCAAATTAAATATTAGTAAGGAAAGGGATGAGTTTCGCTAATGGCGGCAGAAATGAAGGAAATATTTTTTAATCTAGTTTCTTATAAATTGTTTTCTTTGAGCATAAACACTTGACGGAGAGTGTATAAAAGTCGATTAAATATTAATGCATAGTCATGTCTATTAATTAAAATTGTTTCAGTCTCCATAATGCATAAATAGAAGCCATCATCCCTTTCTTCTTTTAGTATCAGTCAAATAATTCGAGTGCTTTTAATAGTAGAAATTGAAAAAAAAAAAAGAAAAAAAGCGATGAAAGTTTTCATAGTATTTTTGGTTTTCATGATCATAGGTAGCACATCCGCTTTCAGAATAGTACGAAATAGGGATCATTTTGATGCTCAATAGATTCTCATTTGCAATTATCGTTTTATTCTGCAGATACATAGGACTTTGTCGAAATTGTTTGAATGCCAAAAGCGAGAAAACGTTCCAATGCAAGATTGGTTTGCTGGAAATTTACCCGATTCAGATCTCACGAAACTTGTTCCAAATCATAAATGTGCCGTTTATTGTCAGAATGAAGCTTTCGGATTGACAACGAATGGCATACTTAATCCAGAGGCGATATTACGATTCCTACCAGAACTTGAGAAAATATACAATGTTGCAGATATGGTAAGGTACTGCCAACATGCCGGAGCTTCTAATAATTGCGAAGGTGCTCTTAAATTGAATATTTGCTTTGAAAATTATAGACTTCCAACAAACAACTCTTCAATAGAAAAATTTTAATAAATCATTTTGATGAAATGTGACAGAAAGTCAAATAGATAAAAAAGAATGTTGTGGTATCGCAAAAGTATTGCGATGCACAAGTTAATGAGAAACAATTTATTACAAATAAAGTAAACATATTTTCGATTAACTTGAGTCGTTTGATTAATAGAAAAATTGTAAAAGGGAAGTTTTCATTCACTTTGATTTAAATCCCCGTTGACCTCATTTAAGAATCGGGAGAATGTAGATTCTTCTCGGCCTTCTCTGTACTACAGGTCCAATCGTATTCTGTTTTAGTGCTTGAGAGAGTACTTTTAAGAAAAGAAAATGGTCGACGGACAGAAGACTGACTTTTTAGTTGCCGTCAACCACCTCGCTTTCTGACTTTAATTGCGCAGATTTTCTGTTGGTATTCTATAACATGGTATGATTCTTTATAACATGCAGACAACTGTTCTAGGTCGTATCGCAGCATTACTTTCTTCTTTTTTCTTCGACACATTTTTAGTTTCCAGGGTGTCGCGTAGTGTCGCTTGGTTTTTTCCCATGCCTGCCTTTAGGTGATATTTTTTTTTTTTGACAGGAGCCAATCACTAAGAGAATGTTCCCGTCGTAGCCGCAACCTAGCGGATGTGCGCTCAGTCGATAAGTATTATTGCTTTAGTGACTGAGCATTTGATAAAACTACGGTCAGAATAATAATAAGAACAAGTTAACAAAGGTACATCAAAGTGGACTTTCTTACAGTTAATCGATCGCATGATCCTTTCACTTGTAAAATCTATCGCACTTGAGATTTGAACCTGCAAATGCTGAGTCGCTCTGTTTACCTGTTAGGGTACTTAGGCAGACAAGCGAGAGCTTAAAAAGTCCTACACTTACGCCGACTTATTTTCTCTCATCATCAGAAGCGTCGATACACGAAATTCTGCATGGAGTCTATTTCAGTTCACTGCATTTAAGTCGTTTGGAATTTAATTTGGATTTCTATTGTTGAATTTAGATCAACACTTCAAATGTAAAGTTAACATTAGTTAGGCGAAACACTATTCACGGAAATGAAATCCATTTTGAAAAATTAATCTTTCACTCTGTAATAGTTTTGGCATTTTACTCAATTGAAAAATTAAATTATACAATCCGATTGCTTTCCTAATAAATTTCGTCATTTCTTTATATCTGGATTTCTTCAATTTCTTCCATAGTTCAGAAATACTTCGATCGCATATAGCCGTTCTGGCAACCCGCATATCTCGAATGTTCGTCCACCTTTTTTTTTAACATCTTGTATTTTTGTTTCTTTTCATGTCTCTATAAGCGTTTTTTTTAAATAATGTTTCGTAAGTGGTATTCTCACAAACATAAATAATCCTGTTTTCGCGTTCGCGTTCGCGTTCGCATATTGTGTTCTACATCGATTTACATTTATTTACTTTTACCATGTGTTACGTTTTATTTGTATAAATATGCAAAAGAGTTTTGTAAGATATCAATTATGACGTAAATACTTTTTATAAATGACTACAACATTCTGATGTAATACTTTGCACATGCGATTATATAAAACTGGTGTTTTTATAAAAAAAAAAATTATTATTATATCTGTTACAAAAATCATAAATAAGAGATATCGCAGTTGAGTAAATATAAAATTGACCTACAGTTGCAATTAGATCACACAAGGAAAAGCAGGCTTATTTTTGCAACAACATATCGCATAAGTAACAACAACGGTGTTAATGTAAAACTCGTCGTACAAGCAATCGCAAGTTCTAATAAAATAAAATATGAGCTTGCTAAGATCAATAGTTGAATATGCTTCGGTCGTGCCGTCTTCTTTTCATAGATATTACGTTGTTTCAATAGCGATTCTCTGCTTTCGTCCTAGGAAGTTTGACACTGCATTCGTTAGCCTTTTTGCCGCCTTACCTTACATTCATCCTAGGTGTTTCATTCTTAGTTAAGTTAATAAATATTGCTATTGATCCGCTACTTTATCAAGAGCAATTAACTTCAAAGTTTCTAACAGTTCTTCTATGCAGTTTATTTTCATGAAACTAAATTAAATTAAACTGAATCAGTGTCGAAATACTTATGAGCCTTTCAGTTCGCTCAGGGTGTTTTAAAAAAACATACATATCTACAATTTCATCGCAATATCGGATTTTTTAAATACTATGGAAATGAAGTCTCTCGCATATCAATGCGTGTCTACGACACTTAATTAACTTCTACGCTTCAATGTTTCGTATGATTCGCGAATTAAGTTAATTATGTTCACTATTTTTGATTGCCAAGCTTTCGTATCTTTACATCGTTTTAGTGGATCACTCCTAGCTTGAATCTATATTCGCTATAAGTTTTCTATAGCGACCTACAAAAATTATTTGTTGATTTCACCAAACTTCTTTTTATTACTGACGCTACCTCTGTTTAAAGTTGTTTACAGGTAAACTTAACTAGTCCTTAGGTTGACTTATTTTGCTCACGCTAGAGTAATTGCTACTTCTCAATTTAGTAACTAATTTAGGTTGCTAAGCTATAACGAGAGTTACATTAGTGTAAATTATTCGTTAGGTTACATTAATGTAGGTTATCTTAATCTAGGTTATACAGTTAGAGTAAGTTTTTTATTGTCAAAAATATGCAAAACTTGCATAAGAGATTAAGTAGGAAAATGAAGTTAAGCAAGAATGCTACAATGTTCTTGCAACGCTAGAAATGCACTTGTTTTTTTTATTGTTTAGCGTTTGTGTTATAAATTTGATTTTTATTGTTTCTTTACATTTACTTTAAAATTTACTCCTAATGTTTAGTCTAAAATTTATTTTTAAAACTCTTATCTATTCGCCTATTATTTTAATGTAGCTGAACTGTAGGTATAAATAAAAAATAGAATCATAGATTACTCAGTAGTAGTCATGGTTACACTCAATTTAATTTCGATAGGACACCAAATGATAGTTGGACTCTATAACAAGTTCGTGGAGGTTCCACGATTTCTTTGCTAGATGGGTATAAAGTAATACAATAGAGTTATTTTACTTTTAATATAAAGCTCTTTCGAACTGGCAAAACCAATCGGAGAATAAGCGAAGGACGGACTTCTTTTGTTTTTCCGTTTTCATAAAGCTTTCTCTCTCTCTCGCTCTGTTGATTACTGCACGCACTCGTGGTAACACGTATGGCGTCCCTGCTAAATATTCTAAATTAATCCGCTGTCATCCAAAATAACTTAATCTCGTTTTATTCAATAAAAGAAAATTATATCATTATCTAAAAGCTAAAGTTATTTAAATTCCGCATTGGTCTTTAAATCAAGAAAAATAAAATAAAGTATATCTTAACGATTACGGTTTCCCAGGACGTTTTGGGCCCAATTAAAAAACCTTGGTATTTTAAAGAAAATTTAGAAAGTTACGCTTTCGTATAGTCAGATATCTAAGGTTAAAGAAATGGTTAGATAGTAAAATTTCAGAATAGGTCGTTATATGGGGAGTGGACCTATCTGAACCATTTTCAATAGCGTTCGTCCTTGCGTCAGAGTACGTCACTGTACCAAATCTCATCAAAATGTCTCAAGAGTTGCGAACTATAGCTTGCACACAATTTTACGTGGACAGACGGACAAACAAGCTTAGATTAAATCAGATAACGATTCTGAATTGATCGGTAAAATAGAGGGTTTGTCTATCTTAAGCCCATCTGCATAATGTACCATGTACCGCAAGTTGTGTAGAGTATAAAAATGGAACAAAATATCTGGCAAGTTACCGAAATGAAACTGTTTGTGATTCGTTACAGTTATTGCTTATTTTGGTAAAGTTTAGGTGCGTGTGTATTGGAAATTTCATTGATATAATGTAAAAAAAAAAAGGAAAAGAGAACGACAAGGCGATCCGAACTTTTGAACCAAAATGCAATTTCTTTCCATTAAGTTATAGTTCTGTAGCAATTGCGATCTCGTAATCCGCTGCTTTTATGTACAAATATCGCCAACTTTAACTCTTGTTTTTTTACGAGCGCTCACTTTATCTTATAAAGTAGGGTTGTTCGCTTAATATTTAACTGTCACTTTCATCAATTTTCGTTCACTTACTTAGGCAACTTATCAAACACACTTTCGAATGCTTTTATAAATGGATCGAGTGTGTAGATCCGCCAAGAATATTTGAGCTAAAATTATTTTCATCAGATGATATATTATTATTACAAGTACTGCAAACTGGGGATTTAAAAAGAATTTATCCCAAGCAAAAAAATGATTTATTATTTATTCAATATTCCACGTACAGCTTATGTAATCGCAGTTTGTTTAAAAAGCCAACTAAGAGTAAGTTTTGCTCGTCTTTGTAAGCATCATGTAGTATATACCTGAGTTGAGCAGCAGCTCGAGCATAACAGTAAGCTATGAAACTCTCTTTGGGTTGCTGGTGGCTTCAACATAGGAAGGCATTCGTCGTCTTTAAAAAATGCAGATAGCCAGAGAGAGAAAGAGAGAGAAAAGGGAAAAGAGAGAGAGAGAGCGAAAGTAAATCTCACCCTGAGTCTGATTAGTACTTTCTTAAGTTACCGACACAAGATATTTGCATCATAAAGAATAATAAGCATGTTTGACACATATACATATTAGAGAGAAAAAAAATGAGGACTACGCTTCTCAGAATTTTTGCGCACGTTCAAGTCATCTAACCGATATAGGACGGAAGAAATCGGAAACGTAATAGCCCTATAAGAAACTTATGGAAACATATCATTTTGCTAAAATATCTTTTCACTCATAGATTACTCGTAAGTAAATGGCAGGAAGATAAAAGCCAAACAGCTGATAGGGATCAAGTAGATTTCAGTCTTACGCGCTGAATATTCCAAATTAAAAAAAAAAAAAAATGAACGAAGGAAATTATATTTCGCCTTAGAAAATCTATTAATAGTTTTTGACTTCTCCAGGGGCCAAAATGTTGACGAACCTTACCTGTAATTCACTGTTGCTTTTAAAGCAAATTGTTTTTTGTGCATTAATTTTTTTTATTTTTTTGGATTTTTCATCGTAGCTGGCGAGCTTATACTCTTTTTATCATTCAATTTGTAACATTTGGAAGAAAGTGCCAGACTCTCGAGAATATGGTCTTATGTCTTAAATAGTAA